CGTCGATGAGCGATCGCGTGTCGTTCCCTGGACGAACGCTCGATAAACGTCCTTGGTTTCGCGTCTACGTTCTATGAAGCCCCGTATGCTTTGACGTCCGCTATCGAGAGTTTCGTATCTTGGAAATTAAACATAATTTCCAAGAGGAGCCGTATAATTAAGATCGCCGGGGAAGGCAGAGATTTTGTTAAAAGCTGGTATTACGAGATAGAACGTGGGAAATAGGAAAACTCCGACGGTGATCTATGCGAGAGGTGCAATTTTATGGGACCGAAGGGTATCGATACACGCCACGTAGAATATCGCGTTCTCATGGAAAATATACTTTCACGAAATTGGAACTCCAAGACGATGGCTGGATTAGACTTTGGAGCGTGGGTGCGTCATGGAAAGTTAAAAAGTAGTGTACGTGTTTCAATTTGTACGACATTCGTGTTCAAAGAAACCGAAATAACCTTGATCCAACGGACGAAACGTTTGGTTAAGTGTCTCAGAAAGTAACCGTTCAAAGAAAGTAATGAAAAGAGTAGAAGAATGTTCAAAGGGTTCAAATTAATCGCGGTAACGTTTACGGAACCACACCGTTATAGACAGTTCCTCCCACGTTAAGCTCCGCGAGGCGATTAAAGTTCCTCCGCCGCCAAAAAAGAACGTCCAAAAATGTACCTTTGCCGTCGAAAATCGCGAGGGACTCCTCTGGCAGAGGTTCCCTTGATCTCGCCGCCCGGATAAGAAGAGATAACTCATTTTGCGAGCGTAGGCTGCGCTCGTGCCGAGCATGCTCGCGCCTATTTATGTCCTTAAGGCAAGGTTCTGGTTGGGTGATAAAATGAGTTACTCTCGGGAACTAATATTTTGGAAACAAATTATGAAATTCAAATTTCACTTCGTGACTTATTAAGGCAATAGAAATACCTTCAATTTAAGAAAAAAAATGGATACGTATTAATTACAGAATGGTAGCCTCGCAAAACGAAATTTTTAATTACAAGTTTCCAAGAAAAGAGATCTATCGTTTTAGTATTTATTTTTAATTTATTATAAATTCGCCTTGAAGGAATTTTCACTAAAAAGAAAAATGTTATATAATAGCTCTTCCTATGAAAAATAGCTTGGACCCAGTAATAAGTGAACTTAAAATACTTCTGGATAGTTAAGAATTAATATTGACAATATTAAGGGCATTATTTAAAAATCTAGAGGTTCCAGATTAGTGTAAATGATGAAGTAGTCAAATTTCTGATGGAAATAAATCTGGATACAGCCATAATCGAAGAGGAATCGGGCAAAAACTGGTGGGTCCGAGCTATGGCGGGCGAACGGGAAGCCGTACCGCACAATAAGGCGCGCGCTAATGAAACGCGACAGCCGGCGCAAAGTCACGTCCGATCCTATGGCGTTAAACGCCCGGCAGACGAGTCGTGATGCAGGTTGTTCGACGCTGACAGTTCGACTGACGTCGGGACGGCTCGCGACCGGTTTCCACGCTTTGGTGTCACAACTTTGAAGGACGCTTTTCGTCGACTTGAATGTTTCCATTTTCAGCCGTTACTCTTCAAGCGCTTTTTCACTTATTTGGCTCCGATCTCCCTACTTCGAAACGCGGCCATTGTTCGAGGATGACATTATCGATCCACAATCGCGCGTCAGCGTCTCGACTCTGAACGACACTGTTAAGTCAACCTCGACGTTTCCACTTCCAAACTCGTCGAACGTTTCCCCCTATTATTTCGAATCGATGTTAACACTCTCAATCTACTTTAATATTTCCATTTTCAAACGATGTGTCGTCGAACGTTTCGTCGCTTATTTGGATCAACCTCTGTGTTTCATCAAATAGAAATTATCTGAGATGATGTTACGAATTTACAATAATTTAAATCGCAACTGTATTCCATGTTTTAACGTCTATGGAGTATCATTTTCGTCGACACTTATATTCCCACGTTCAGCCGTTGCTCGAGGAGTAACTTTATTTTTTCGCCTATTTGCGTCAATTTCTTTGCCGTCGTGAGATGCAAGTTGCCTACGAATGACGTTACCGTTTTCAATTCATCGAATCACGACTGGTTTCCGGCGCTTCAAGACTCACAAGTTCGAAGGCTGTTAGACTTCGTGTTTCCCTCTCGAGTCGTTCCCCCCGTGAGATTTGCATTCGCTTATTTAGGTCATTCTCTGTATTTTACGAGGTATCGGTTATTGGATCCATGACACTATCGACGGACAAGCTGTTAGTTCACCTCGGGCGTCTAGGTTCCGTACTACAGGTCAAATCGTTTCAACGTATGGACGGTGTACAGTACATATGTACTGTAAATCCATTTGGACAGTTTATTGCGGTCACGTTGGGCACCGTGCGTAGTTTAAAACGATATATCTGTCCTGATCATGAAACTATATTCCGATAATCTCCTGGCAAAGCTGATCACCTACTTAAGGATTTGCACTTGACGACGAAATACAGCTTTGTTCCATAAATTTTTTATAGCAATACTATACTCCCGATCGCAATAAATCGTTTCCTACGCACGAAGTGTAGAATAAGCTATAAATCGTAGCTCTAATATGAAAATTCAAACTAAAGCAATTTGTATTCCTTCATTTTTTTATTATTCTACCTCGTACGACTGTTCTTATTCAAATTTTGCATACGTCCAAATTAAACTTTGCCATTTTTCAAATCGCGACGCGAAACGCTAGAAGAATCGAGTTCCACGAGCAGACTATCTATTCGCCGGCGTTAATCCTCGAGAGAAGGCTATCAATCAGGTATTCAAATAGACTCCGAAAGAGCAAGTTGTAAAAGAAACGTCACCTTCGGACGCCGAACCAGGCGATTCTCTTCGAATCCGAACAATGACAGGAATCCCTTTCAACGTCAGCGCGCATTCCGCGAGGAAATTAAAGGCAGAAAGCTCGTGGAACGGTTCCCGTTCACCTACGCGACGACACTAAAGCGGGACGCAGCCAAGATCCGTATTACGTAACCGTGTACGAGAGGAGACAAATACCATAAGTCACTGTTACGTTGCCGCAAACACACCGCTAATGGCACTCCGCTCGGGTGGGTGGCGAACGTTTTGGACGCGGGGATCTCTCGACTTTGCAAACCTGTCGGCGGCGGCACCAAAGAGCACCGGAAGACGAGCGTGGGAGGACGCGAAAAGAGATCGACCGAGTCACGGAACCTTCGCGCAAACCGACACGATTCGCCTTCGCGGACGCGTCTTAGAATCCCTCGTTTTGTTTCGACTCGCGTGCTGAAAGATCGAAGAACGATGCCCCTTCGCCGCGATGAAAAACGAGCCTCCGCGTTTATTTAATTAGACGAACGCGTCGATTCCTGAAACAACCACGAATGTTGTTTACTAAAACGTGATTTGGAAAGATTATTTAAAAAATCAATATAAATTGGCTGTTGTCTCTGTACAAAAGGGCGGGATTAATTTCGCCGCGATTCGAAATCACTGTGCAAAAAGAGCCCCTGCGACAGCTGTCGAGATTCCACGCCTGTGCCCCGTCAGACGGCTGCTTAATTAAACACGAACTCTGGAAATGCAAATGTCGCACTTAAAGCGCGTCACGTGTCCCCGATACGCCCCTTTCCATCCATCGTATTTACTCAGAGGCATTATTATTATCAAACGTGTTCATCGTGTTCGAAGATACAATATACAAGTTATGGAAAAATAATTTTCACAATGACGAGACAAAACTGAAGTTTCCTTTTCAATCGGTATATATATAATGTTAATGATAATGAAAATTACAAAAGACTGAGTCAACAGTGAGTTTCATAGTAGATAAAGAAAGTAAACAGTAAAACAGTTTGATGCAGTCGGAGTTTTTTAAAGGACGAGTAACAGGAGAATTCAGAAGAATATTCTCTAACAATGAAATAGAAGATTCACGGATTTAATATCCAACATACGATTTCACTTCCTGTATCGTGGTATTTACAACGAAAGTGAAAGGAGTAACACAAATATTGAATTTTTATTTTGAAGCATAAACGTTGGTTCGTCTGGCGTCAGAGGAAGGATCAAATAAAATCGCGCGACACGCTGCAGGACCGTTTTCTCGGACGACAGTCGAGCACAATGCGTCCGTGGAACGTTATCATAGGTCTCCGAGACGTTCGAGGTTTTCATAAAGCCGCGGGCGCGGATCCTCAATGGCCACCGTGACACGAAGTAGCCACTTTACAGCGGCGAGCCGCCCACGCGTCGCTTCCGACAGAATTTCAAGTTCATCGGGGCCTTCGGTAAATCACGCCAATGTATGAAGTTGTTCGAGACGGAGGACTCGTAGGCGCGACGCTACTTTTCATGTAAACGCGAATCGGAAGTTTCGCGCGTCGAGAACGGGACTGGACGATAAAGTCGACGAACGGACGCGCTGGAGACTTCGATGCGTGAGAGAACGTGTCGCGCTGGAGACTTCGATGCGTGAGAGAACGTGTCGCGCGAGTAGCGAGGCTCGAATTTACATGTTCGCGACATATCGAATTAATCACGTAGTAGACTAAATCAGTGTTACTTCCTGGAGATCTTAATTTAATGTTATTCATATTGTAAACATATATATTTGAGAAATTCTGTTAATTTTGTTTTATTTATTATATTGTCTTTGCTCGGATATGAAATGTAATAAAGGAAGAAATATATTTTATGGTTTCAACCTTATTTTTTTAGGGCAGACTCAAAATTAAATTGTACGTAAGTTTATACATTCTAAGGAAAAGATCTCTAATACTGTAATTGTTGATACTATCAATATTCTTATATAAAGCTTATTTTTATATAATAATTAATTACTTCAAATGTTCCAAACTTGTAATGTCTTTAAAATAAATTATTCTTTTCATGTTTCCTCTCAGATAAAATTCCAAAACTGAATTTCAACAAGTTTACAGAAATAAATATACAATCGATGAAGTGGCTGACTACTGTCTAAAACGAACGCGTTGATATAATTTCTATGGCAAATACGTTACTCACCGAACCCCATCCGCACCTCTTCCTCGTCGTCGCTGTCGATGTGCTTGATCCCCGCCACCTCGAAGCTCCTGGACTGTTCCTGCCTCGTCTTCGACGAGGGTGGACAGTCGCAAGTGTCTTCGCCGCCCCCGCAGCTGCAGTCGTCGCCCGCGCACCTGCAGCCGAGCAAAGGGTCGTCGGTGTCAATGTTCCTGCACGCTGGACACGGAAACGTGAGGTCGTCCAGCGAGACCCTCTCGATTTTCCTCTCCACAGTGACCAGAAGGTTCCCGATAAACGCGGGTAGGTCGTCGTCGCTGACATCGTCGACGCTGCGGACGTTCTGCAGCCTGTCATCGGCGTCCACGACGTTCCCGTCCATCTTCTGCTCGAGAACGATCTCGTCCAGTCGAAGCGGCGTCTTCAGGTCCTCGGGCGCCAGTGCTCTGCTCCTGGTCTCGCATCTGGTCGTCTCCTTCCACTTCTCCATCGTCGACGACGAGACGACCTTGGCGCAGCTCTTCGCTTTGTCGGGAAGACTAGAAGGGTTGTTCGATGCGTGCATGGCTTTCAGCTCCCCGTCGAGCTCCGCCTTCCACGTGTCCACGCTCGACGTCGACCTGGACTTCATCACCGCGTGCCCGGTTTCGACGTCCTCGACGGCGTCGCGGATCTCATTCGAGTGCTTGAATTCCAGCCTGTCGATCGACCGGGTCTCGTCCCGTCGGTGCTCGAACGCGCTGCCCGGCTCGCGCGTCCTCGAGCGGGTCTCCTCGCGCGATCTTCGACGGAGCCGCGTGCTCTTCCCCGTTTGAGCCCCGACCAGGCTGTTGCTCGCGGCGCTCGTGCTCCCCTGACCCTTTCGGGACACCTCCCGCCAGTCCATAAACTCCTCCTCGCGGTCCCAACCGAGGAACCCTGGGGCCCTCATCGACGTCGTTCGCCAAACTACTGCGATCTGCACAGAACGATCACCCGTTTTAGAGCTACACGTTTGGCCAAAATGACTTGTGAATAATTTATTATTCTTCTATGAGAGAAAGGTACAGCGTGTTTACATCCCTGTCTCACTCATACGAGTCATTGAATATATAGAATATTTATCTTCAATTTCTTTCTTGGACTCTCTTTAGAAAAGAAGTATATTAACACTATTAATTGCCTCGATACTTTTCCGGGATTTCGGTGCAAAAATATTCTTTTGCTTGTTGATTTTGAATACACTTTGGAATATAAAGTACGATTATATTATCTGTTTATTTATTAATAAATTTTCTGTTTGTGTAAGCCAATCTTGATTTTTTGTTCCCCTCCCTGAGGCTATCTATTCATATTAAACTGACTACGAATGTCATCGTAACTGCACAAATATGACAAGTAAACAAATTACGAGATAACTCGTAGTCAGTCAATATATTGATATAGAAAATATAAAAATATTTTTTATTTTATACTCTTTATATATTATCGATGCCTCTCTGATCTCATACATTGGTCCTGCAGATATTCATTTTAATTATCCAGCTTTCGAGGACCATAGTATGAAACTACTTTCAGTAAGAACATTCAACTAGTAAAAATTGTTTCTTACTACCTAGCACTAGAACTACACTTTGAAGGGTTGTATAATTTACAAATTGTATTATCGACAAGGAAAATTAATGATAAATTCTCTAACGAAGTATACTGACCTAAATGAATAAGTATAAATGACCAATAAATTATGAAACAGACGTAACTTTGAAAGAAATACGAAAGCTAGATGCGAATTTAACCTTCCTCCGCGTTGGTTCTCCGCGTCCCAAGGCCGAGTCTCAAGAATGTGACGATGGTTTTGGTAACGACAGCTACCGTATGGAGGTGACGCGAGATCGCGAATGAAAATGAAAAAAACGACAAAGAATCGTGACTCACCTCGACGGTATTCCGCTCGACGGTTTCACCGGCGGCCGCTTCGCCGCTCCCCGAGGTGGTTGCAACTGCAGCTGCACTGCGTATGCAGAGGTAACATTCCCCGAGACGCAGTGCGGAGGCTTCGAGCTCTCCTAGCTGCAGGATGAGGCCACGTCTGCCCAACGTGAGAGGCCAGCCTTCCGGCACCACAGACTCGTTTCCCTGGAACAGGAAACAACCATCAGCCTTTGACAATTTTATGTCTCCCTCGAACAAAATATCAAGCTACTAAAAAAGTAACGCTAACAACAATTTTAAATATTCTTCATCGAATATAGCCGCTATAATTATCTATCGATGCTTCTGGCTTGGAACTAAAGCGGACGTGAGACTTTCGTAACACTTGCTGGAAACACAATCAAGTCTTTCGCCACGAGGAAGCGGAGCCCTCCAATTAAATGCACTCGATTATTTATATTTCACGAGATACCGCGTGTCTCGAATAAAAATCGACGAAGATTGAACTGGCAAAACACGCAAGACGGTAATTCGCCCTTCCCCCCCGTTCCCACATCAATTCCATCCCTCGAACTGTTCCGCGAGGGGCGTTCGAAAGGCCCCGGACAATCGGGGCGATTAATTAAAACCGAGCCGGAAGCTTCGCGGCTAATGAAATTCCTCTAAATAAGTTACACCGCGAAAGGGAGAGTAATTGAGGCCGTGCCCGCGCGGATGGAACGTTAATCACGCTGATTAGAGAGTAATCAACGTTACGCGGATACGCCCAAAATTGTGGAGACGTGCGCCCGCAGGAACGATGTCCTGTCCGCAGCCTCCCACGGTTTCTCCGGTCGTGGCTCCTCGCGAGCGGGAATGCGGCCAGAATTTAATCAGTTTCGAATTGCGTTACCTGCTCCGCACGAACGGAACGACGGAATCCCACTCGAGATACATCGACACCCTCGTAAACGAGTGGGTGGCACGCTGGCACCATTGTTAGAATTGCATTTCAATCTTTCCAATCCCTTTGTGTATTTAACAATTTACTGAAATATTTATCTGTACATCTCTTGTACATTAATTAATTTTTATCCGTACAATGAATAAATAAAAAATATGTAATAAGACTGAGGAAGTTTTATTATTCAGAATCTTATAATTCCTCATCACGTTGGCCTATTTTATATAGAATAGTGCTAATTTTTATACAGAATAATAAGAACTTGGTAAAATATGATCTCCATTTATTTACACAGGAAATGTTGCAACAGTTAAAAGCTTTCGAAGGTAATTTTTTCTAGTACCGCGATCCTACCTTCAGAATTCTATTACAGACTCGAAGACCGTAATGGTGCCTTCAATAAATTATCTACAGTGTTCGTTCCGAGTTTGAAACATCGAGAGTAAAAATGTTACGAAAATGAAGTGCCGCATGAAAGTTAGCGACGCATTAGACAAGCGAGACGGGGTCCCTAGACACGATATTGTTAATCATTTGAACAGTTTCAAATTACATGTCAGTTTATTAGTCTATAATTAGTTTCAACAGATTATTCAAATGATTAATAGCGTCGTGTACAAGGCAGGACCTGTCAGATAAATCTCACCGACGAGTGCAACTAGGAGATCCGGGACGAAACGCGGCTACGTTGCTCTTTGTACCAAAACCATTAATATTACCAAATCATAGACTGCTTATGAGAGCAGAAGAGTTTCTTAACACATTGACTGCCAACTATGAGTTAACTCGCGGCCAACGATTTGTCATCTAGTGCCACCTACGAGTAAATAATGAATAATGACCATTTGGAGGAAAACCAAACATCGGTGTATGCATTGGGGAACTAAATATTTAATTAAAATTATTCGCCAAGATAAGCGTCGAATCGTCTCGTAGGTGACGAAAGAATTCCATTGGAAATTATTTCAACAATCATTGCAATAATAGTATTATTACATTTACAATTACACTTCAGACTCAGGTATCGTTTTAACTGCGATTAAATGAAATATGGCTGCCACAGAAGGAACGTATGCTACAAACCATATCCCGTGTTATAGTGAACGTGTTAACGGGGGCTATAGACACGACGATTCCTCGCATACATAATAATTTGTACAATTAACGTTGATACGACTAGTCGAACGATAACATTAAATTTATGGGGTTGTTAAAAGCCTGCCATATGCCGCGGACGCTACACTATACTTATCGTAGCAATTCGATAAACGACTTATCGTACAAGGACTCGTTACTTCTATGGCCCCTATAAGTCGGACAGTAACGAATCTCAGAAATAGACAGAGGATGCTGTTAAAGACTTTCGAAAAATCGACGTTCAATTAAAACAGTCAAGAAGAATTATGCAACCATGTTTGTTTGCTATTTACTAGTTTCATATATTTCCTCGATTCGTCCCATAGAATTTGGCTTTTGACACGCACCATGAATTTCTTCCCAAGCACTTATCTAAGGGCGCCTCCTAACATTTATCCACCGCCATGCGCCATAAATTCGTTCCACACTTTTGCCATTCACCGTCTATTACGCCACTTAATTACACACGACGTATATCAGTAGACAATATATTTTTTATACGCGTGAAATTTCGGGGAAACATTTCTGGTCAGACATCATATTTTCGGCAAGGAATTTTTTTCTCAAAAGTGCGTAGGAATTCGAGGGTATGTCTATTCACCAAAAATGATTGTAATTGACCCCTGCGATCAAAAATAATTTTTCCAGAACGATTTGAAATTTTTAAATTTCAGCACCTACTCGAATTTTTTTCTCAAAAGTGCGTAGGAATTCGGGGGTATGTCTATTCACCAAAAGTGATTGTAATTGACCCCTGCGATCGAAAATAATTTTTCCAAAACGATTTGAAATTTTTTAATTTCGCCGAAAAATTTGAGCACATACTCGAATTTTTTTCTCAAAAGTGCGTAGGAATTCGGGGGTATGTCTATTCACCAAAATTGATTATAATGGACCCCTGCAATCGAAAATAATTTTTTCAGCACGATTTGAAACTTTTCAATTTCGCCGAAAAATTTGAGCACCTAACGGTGTAAGGTTTACTCATGTACCTCTCGTCCGTGGTTTAATCATCGCCTCCCGCGTTCCTAGCTCATTATTCTCCACGAAACATCGATCCTCGAAGCAAACGCGTCACGTTTATATTCGTCGAGTCGCAGCTACGACACTTTCGTTCCTCCGTTTCCACGGAATGACGAATGATTAATCGACTCGTTCGTTCGCGCGCGACTTCCGGCTCCGGGGTTTCTAGGAATCCGGCGTCCCCGCGGCGGGAAATGTCAAGAACGAGCAGAAAACGACGCTCCGACCGTCAGATTCCGGGGGCTCTTTGTCAGAATCCCTCGAAAGGACACCGGTGGCTGCGCGGTTACTCCCAGCGCATCGTGTTTTCGCCCACGTGTGTCGATGCGCGGGCCCAACGTGTAAGCAATTAGACGCTGCAACGCGCGAATAAAAGCGAGCGGTAGAATGCTCACACCTCGCCTGCATACCGTCCGCTGGCAATTAAACGATACGAAGATTCCGCGAAGGAATGCGAGTTTTTATCGTCCTCTCCTTCCGCGGGAATTTTACGACTGCTCGAAAGGGACCCCGAGACACTCAGCATCGCGAATCCGTGCTGATTAATTCCAGAAAACGAAGCAATACGTTGTGCAACCATCGCTATACGCAGAATTTCAAATTTCGGTTCTTCTGCTCGATGAAAGATCGCGGTTCCTTCAATCATTCGATTCCATTCATCTGTATATTATATCTATATTCTATATTCTTGTATATATTTACAGTATTTATAATAGTTTTAATGACAGTTTAATAACAAAACATCAAGACTTAATATATATAATAGTATAAGAATGTTTATTTTCTCTTTTTAGAAATTTCATTCGAACTGGGACTTAGTATTTTGAATGATTAATTACAGAAATTCCATTCGATGAATTGTTTCAGGGGAACCTGCAGAAAGAGTTGCGTAACCCTTTCAATGTCTGGTGTAAACTCAAACACGTAGCGTCGAGGATGCAAATTCTAAAATGTTCAGACAACCCATTCATCCCATTTCCTATGAATCACCCGAGTGATTTGCGAATTCATTACCTGAATTAATTCTGCATAACGTGTCTGTCGGTGAGCATTGCATCAACGCCTATTGTGTCTGCGTTGCGCGCTGATCGCATCATCGATACCGAACGTTACGTTCTGCCCGACCGATAAATAATGTCTCTAATAAAGTCACGAGCGTATGCAAAAATGTTTGGACGTTCGATCGGTAGCGAGCGCTGCTGGAATTTCGATACCGATCGCGAAAAACCGTTTCGCTGGAAGTGGCGATCGCCCCGTGCGTCCACCGGCGTCGCGAGATCATATCGCGGCGATGGAAGAGTTTGCGCAATCGGGGCTGGGAATGCGGCTTAATTAAGCCGGGGCGTGTTGTGCTTGTGTCGCGTGGCACGTGTTTGCGGTTTTCTTTGCGGAGTTTATCGAACGCACGGTAGCTCGGGAACTCACGGGCAGCAGGAACTGGCCCAGATTCCGGGACTTACGGCGTTTACGAGTGCGAAAGAGACCACGAGCGAAATGAATGAACAATGCGCTCCCCCCCGGGCCCCGTAGCGCATTGTTTCCATTCTTCTCCGTTGCCGATAGAGTCACGTGTACGCGAAGCATCTGACCACCCGGATGGAGAAGTTTCCATTGTGAGTAGCGAGGGAAGCCTTGAAGGATCGGGACGTTGACTCGCGAAGTTCCCGAGGCGCCCCTGGGTCTCAAAAATGTCCAGAATTGTCAAAAGTTACGAGAACTTGAACCACGATTTGGGTTTAACCGTGTTGAATAGGATCGTAGACTTGGATTTTCAGTTCTGGGAAGGGTAGGAACGTTCAATTTACGAATCACATCTGGGGGTTTGTTTTAAGAATCATTACTGTATTGTATTTTAAATGTTTTTCAAGCTTCACTGGCTCCGAGAGGGATAGGAACGTTCAACTTACGAATCATGCCTGTGGGTCCATTTTAAGAGTCACTACTGTGTCATCTTTCAAGCTTCACTGACTCCAAAGAGAATCCTACCAGATGAAAACGTTCAACTTACGAATTACGTTCATTTTACGAATCATCGCCGTTTTCTTTACGAAAATGAGAAAAGAATTGTTTCGATCGAGTTCTCGAGGATTAAGTTGCTATC